ACTCACAACTGGCTCTTCCTCACTCCTACAAGATGTTATTCCTCCTTGCCCTATACACGAAATCACAGCTTCCCTATCTTCATCAACATTTAACAGTTCCTCAAAATATTCCCTCCATCTTCCCAATACCTCTAACTCTCCATTTAATAACTCTCCTCTCCTATTTTTAACTGACAAATCCATTTGTTCTCTAGGCTTCCTTAACTTGTTAATCTCACTCCAAAACTTTTTCTTATTTTCAACAAAATTTGTTAACATCTCACCCACTCTCTCATTTGCTCTTTTTACATTGCTTCACCATTCTCTTAACCTCTCTCTTTTTCTCCATATACTCTTCCCTCCTTGCATCACTTCTACTTTGTAAAAACTTCTCATATGCTAACTTTTTCTCCCTTACTACTCTCTTTACATCATCATTCCACCAATCGCTCCTCTTCCTTCCCGCACCCACTTTCCTGTAACCACAAACTTCTGCTGAACACACTAACACTACATTTTTAAACCTACCCCATACCTCTTCGACCCCATTGCCTATGCTCTCATTAGCCCATCTATCCTCCAATAGCTATTTATATCTTTCCCTAACTGCCTCCTCTTTTAGTTTATAAACCTTCACCTCTCTCTTCCCTGATGCTTCTATTCTCCTTGTATCCCATCTACCTTTTACTCTCAGTGTAGCTACAACTAGAAAGTGATCTGATATATCTGTGGCCCCTCTATAAACATGTACATCCTGAAGTCTACTCAACAGTCTTTTATCTACCAATACATAATCCAACAAACTACTGTCATTTCGCCCTACATCATATCTTGTATACTTATTTATCCTCTTTTTCTTAAAATATGTATTACCTATAACTAAACCCCTTTCTATACAAAGTTCAATCAAAGGGCTCCCATTATCATTTACACCTGGCACCCCAAACTTACCTACCACACCCTCTCTAAAAGTTTCTCCCACTTTAGCATTCAGGTCCCCTACCACAATTACTCTCTCACTTGGTTCAAAGGCTCCTATACATTCACTTAACATCTCCCAAATAAATATTAAAATGGCACTTACCTTTATTGAAGAGTATTGATGAGATGAACCAACCCCAGAAATGGATGGTTGTGGGTCACTGGGGATTTTCAGCAATATTTCTGGCATCCTAAGGGTTACTGTATGCTCAAAACCAGTCATCATTGGTTCCATAATTGTTGTTGGAGCCATCACTAGGGAATAATACTCGTTCAGTTAACTAGGAATGAGGTCTTTGTGTTCATGTGGCATGGTGAATAAGGTGTACTAAATATGGCATTCCCACAATGCACTGCAGGGGAACCCCCCAGTTTTTTATATATGTATACTGCACACACTGACTGTACAGACCCATTCTCTCATGTAGGCCTTTGAAGAGTTTCGAGAGTTTCTCTACTCTCTGGGCCCGACCATGGGCCAGGCTCGTCTGGTGCTTGCCTGGTCAACCAGGCTGTTGCAGATGGAGGCCTGCTGCCCCACATATCCATCACAGCCTGGTTGATCCGGCACCTGATAAAGATACTTGTCCAGTTTCCTCTCGAAGACTTCTACACTTGTTCCAGCCGTGTTTCTGATATCTTCTGGTAAGATGTTGAATAGTCTGGGACCCTGCATGTTGATACAGTGTTCCTTTATTGTCCCCACTGCACCCCTGCTCCTCACTGGGTTTATTTTACACCTCCTCCCAAATCTCTCACTCCAGTATGCTGTTATGGCAGTGTGCAAATTTGGGACTAGGCCTTCGAGTACTTTCCAGGTATATTTTATCATGTATCTCTCTCTCTCCTCTGTTCCAATCAGTGCATGTTTAAGACTTGAAGGTGTTCCCAGTAGTTTAGGTGCTTTACTGGCTCAATGTGAGCCGTAAACGATCTTTGTATTTGTTCCAGCTCTGATATTTCTCCTACTTTGAATGGGGCCGTCAGCACTGAGTAATATTCTAAGTGAGGGAGCACTAGTGATTTGAATAGCGTCACCATCAGCATTATTTCCCTTGTTTAGAAAGTTCTCAGTACCCACCCTGTCATCTTCTTGGCTGTCATGATCTTGGTCTTGTTATGGTCTTTAAAAGAAAGGTCATTCTTTCCATCCCTAAGCAGCTGGAATTTATCACCATTGAATGACATGTTCTCCACTGCCCACTGGAAAACCCTGCTTATGTCTTCCTGTAAATTTTCAATGTCGTCTACCATAGTGATTTTCATGCTTATTTTAGCATCATCTGCAAATGATGATACAAGTGTGCTGGGTGTTTTTATGTATGTCTGCTGTGAGGATGAGAAACAGTAGAGGTGCCAGGACAATGCCTTGGGGCACTGAGCTTTTGACCGCACTGATGCTGGATTTTGCCCTGTTCACTACGATTTGTGCTGTGTGTGTTAGGAACCCAAAAATCCATCTGCCTACCTTCCCCGTAATGCCCACAGGCCTCATTTTATGCGCTATCACTCCATGATCGCATTTGTCAAACACCTTTGCAAAATCTGTGTAAATCACATCTGCATTTTGGTCATCTTCCAATGCCTCCATAATTCTGTCATAATGGCTCAGCAGCTGTGACAGGCATAATCATCCCGCTCTAAAATCATGCTGGTTCAGGTTATGCTGGTCCATAAAATTTGTAATCTGCCGTTTCATCACTCTTTCAAATATTTTTATGATGCGAGAAGTTAGGGCTACTGGTCTGTAATTTTTAGCTAGTTCTCTACTACCTCCCTTATGCAAAGGAGCTATGTCTGCACTCTTTAAGGCCTCCGGTATTTCACCTAGATCTAAGCTTTTTTCTCCAAAGAATGCTGAGTGCTCGTGCTAATGGTACTTTACACTTCTTAATAAATAGAGCATTCCATGAATCTGCTCCAGGTGCTGAGTGACAGGGCATGTTGTCCATTTCTTTTTCAAAATCTATGGGATTTGTACTAATGTCAGTTAGTTGGTCTGCATGGCCTTCTTCTGGAGTGCCTACCATGCCTCCACACCAAATTTGAGGCCAGCTAGAATTTATGGATAGAATTATGCAAGGGACCCTGGTGTCAATAATGCAAATCTGTGACAGACACTGAAAGCGTTAACTAGTGATATATTCCTTATAAATGTCTCAAACACAAAATGAACCTAAATTATGCAGAATTCTCTCATTATTCATGGTTTGTAGCTTTGCAGACCTTTAGGAAAATGAGCCCACAGTGAATTTGTACAGACGACTGTATACTATATAATTATATGAATGTTTCTATGGTGGGACCTTGGAATAGTTGCATGTACCAAATACTCTTTTCTCTTGACCCTCATTTGGTCCACTTTGCACTTTTATGCTCTGTGTAGCCCACTGATACTCATCTCTGTTCAGAAACTATGGGGGCCCTTTTTGCAATGTTACACATATTTACTATTTCTCTCCAACAGTCCTGGGCATTCTGTTAAAACTGCAATTATTCAGACTGAATGGACCTTCCTGGCCATTTTCATTTCCTAGTGGTTCTGTCATGCAGCAATATTTGTGTGTCATACTCTGGTATTTCAGCCATGGCCTAGTTCACCAGTGGGCTGCCTTGGCTTTGTTCTGACTCAAACACTTCCATGGATTCTTTCTTCCTACTACTCGCAAGGTTTGGTCACAGACTGGGCCATGGGGGTGTTGACCCCCAAAACCCTTTTCAGGTATACCCAACATGATGACTTGCTGCCTTCTGAATGTTCCTGGGACAGCATCCTCACTTTAATACTCTTTTTTTTTTTTTCCAACAAATCAGCCATTTCCCACTGAGGCAGGGTGACCCAAAAAGAAAGAAAATCCCCAAAAAATACTTTCATCATTCAACACTTTCACCTCACTCATACATAATCAGTCTTTGCAGAGGCACTCAGATACTACAGTTTAGAAGTCCCTCCAAGGAGTCAATATCCCAAACCCCTCCTTTAAAGTGTAGGCACTGTACTTCCCATTTCCAGGACTCAAGTCCAGCTAACTGGTTTCCCTAAATCCCTTCACTAAATATTACCCTGCTCACACTCCAACAGCTTGTCCAGTCCCAAAAACCATTTGTCTCCATTCACTCCTAACAAGCTCTCACACGCTTGCTGGAAGTCCAAGCCCCTCGCCAAGTTAGCCAATGGTGAATCAGCCAATTTTGTAATGTCACTATGGCCTTTTCTTGGACATGTTGCACTGTTTCTTCATGCCTTACTTCATGAGCAATTTAGGTTCCAGATTTTTTATAATTTATATTTTTATTGACCTTAAGATGAGGGGATGCTACTCTAATTTCTCATGAAAAAATAATTGTGCTATGGCCAAGAATATCCAATAATAAAATAGGTGAAATATAGACTATTCTTTTATACTGTAGTACAGTACTACATACATAAAAATCTATCAGTTTTATATCATATAAGTGTGTGAAGCATTATTGAAGTGATCCCTGCATACTGAATAAGAAATAGCATTAAAAAGTTACCAAAAGTCATCAGTACAACAGTGTGCATGCACATGTTGGGGGAAGAACCAGATTAGAATTTAGTAAGAAGTACAATGCCTTCCACTTTAAACATCAAATGGGGAAATTTTAATTTTAGTTTGGAGGGATATGTTGTGTATCTTTATACATATATGCTTCTAAACTGTCGTTTTCTGAGCACCTCTGCAAAAACAGTGATAATGTGTGAGTGTGGTGAAAGTGTTGAATGATGAAAGTATTTTCTTTTTGGGGATTTTCTTTCTTTTTTGGGTCACCCTGCCTCGGTGGGAGACGGCCAATTTGTTGAAAAAAAAAAAAATCACTAAACCACATTACATTATCTGTTTTCTTATTGACAGTACCTAGGGAGAAAGTAATGGTGCTTATGTTTCACTCTTTGAGATACTTTGCCTCATGACCAGGTCTCAGACAAAATCTCAAACTGGAAAGGAAACATTACATAAATAAGAATATGAAATATATGGAGAGAAATGATAGAAATGGCAGAAAAACTTTTAAAGTCAGCACTATCACATTTTACTGGAAATTGCCTTTTAATGACATAGATGTGTACAATACTGAACTTTGCATATTCATAACACTATGGTTGTAGAAAAGATTATGTCTAAACTACAATATGATCATATAGTTCAGTACTACCTATCTTCCAAGGAAAAAAGTGCACTTTTAAACAAATGAAAGATACAAAATGAAGTATCATCATTTAGTAAATGCTGTTGGTCTAAAACTGTCATAACTGACTAGTCTATGTATTTTTTCTGGTGCATTTTTGAGAACACTGTTTTTTTTTTTCTTTAACATGCCAGCCGTTTCCCACCGAGGCAGGATGACCCAAAAAAGAAACATTTTCACCATCATTCACGCAATCATTGCAAAGACAGTGATTATATGTGAATAATGGTGAAAGTGTTTCTTTCTCTTTAGATCACCCTGCCTCGAAGGGAGAGAGCCGGCGTGTTAAAAATAATAATAATAATAATAATAAAAATATGTACATTATGTCAGGTTAACATAAATTACCAAATTTTAATAGTAACCAAACAAAAATGGGGAAATCTGATTATAATATGCTACGTATATGCATATAACAGTATCCAGGAAAAAGCTCTGATAAAATGCTTGATGAAGGAGAATGTTACAGAACAACTATCTTCATTTGTGAATCTTGCTTTATGCACGTTATGAGGATAATTTGGGTGATGAGGGGAGTTACTACACAAGGTGGGAATTTCAAATCTTCAGTGAGGGAGCATGACACTGTTCTTGGACATTTCTAAATTAGTTGAAATATGTCCAGCTTAACTGGTTTTACTCAAATTCTAATTGCACTGCATATGTTAAAACAGCCAATTGTTATAATCTACAAAAAAAAAAAAAGCACAGTATCTTCACCTAAAATTAATTTAACTTGAAAATGAAAGGTAATTTGTAAAATAAATTTCACCGTTTTACAAGTTTTTAAATTTCAGCACTAAGAATTTTAACATACCAATCATTTTTAAGAACCCTTTTCAAGCATATTTTTTATTCTACATAGAAAAATAACTGAACAATATCATAAGGTGACATGTAGTGAGAAAGACACTACAGTTGCAGTGTACTTTTTATCACAACATTTCATCCAGGACTGGATTTTATCGATTTTATCAAGTATAGGACAGCATTTGCTGGCACATAAAGCCCCCCCCCCCCCCCAAAAAAAAAAAAAATGTCTTAGAAAATTACCCCTTGCCTTACATGCTCAAGGTCAGAAACAAGGGTAGGCTTTGCATTACTGGCAAATGGTGGTTTCAGTGTTGCAGTACTGGTAAACTGAACTTCAAACAACCCTTTTACAAAACTTTCCCAGATTACTCTAGAGTGATTAGTAACTATTATAAACGGCCGACGTGTTAAAAAAAAAAAAAAAAAAGTAGTCATGTTTGCTTTGGTGGTTGGTGGTGGTGAAGCGGACAACAAACAGGCTACACAAGCAGGAGCTTGTTGGAGTAAGACCAATTCAGTCCATAAAACCATTTAACTTTTCTTCTTTTCCTATCAACAAACCGGTCGTATCCCACCGAAGCAGGGTGGCCCAAAAAGAAAAATGAAAGTTTTTCTTTTTAACTTTAGTAATATATACAGGAGAAGGGGTTACTTACAGTGGAATATTTGTTTCAATGAGAGGGGCATGAAGTAGCATACAACACAATATCTATATGTTTTAGGACAAATATGATTATTGATTTACTGTTGTGATACTTCAATATCCTCACCTTTAAACAATAAAAATAGCTTCATTTTAAGACAAAAATATTTTTTCCCTATTTCCTCAAGTTTTGTGAATTTAATAAAAACTCCTTAAGTTATAGTATGTTTGTCCTAATGTTTTTTGATCGCACTAACCATATCCCACAGAGGCAGGGTGACCTAAAAAAAAATGAAAGTCTCTCTCTTACAACATGCATGGCTTGTACCAAAATGTTTTAACTAAAAATCTGATCTTGACAGCATCACAGTTTGTGCCACCATATTTGTTTACTCCAGTACTGATGGGACCTAGTGTTAGTCATGATTGCTTACCAACTTACTAGGCCAAGCAAGCACTGCAATTTTTCCCCCAGAAAATGCCTGCCAAAACTGAGGTGTACCTTGTATGCTTGCAAGTCTTACAGCCCGGAAAATACAGTATTCGATTAAAGTCGAGTCCTGGATGAAGCATAACGCAGGTTTCAAAACAAAAATAATCTTACAAAATTTAAAACAACCAAAAGACTTGTATATTGTGTTGCATCTGTAAAAGATGTATAAAGCACCCATACAAAACTATAATATTCAAAGTTTTTTTTAACACACTGGCTGTCTCCCACCAAGGCAGGGTGGCCCAAAAAAATAAGAAAATTTTTTTCTTTTTACATTTAGCAATATACACAGGAGTAGGGGTTACTAGCCTCTTGCTCCTGTCATTTTAGTTGCCTCTTATGACATCCATGGCTTACGAAGGAAGGATTTTTTTTCCCACTTCTTTTATTCTAAAAAAATAAAGTATGCAATGACTGAACAAATATTTATCAAATCAACCTTAAGCTAGGATAGTAGCAAAATAATAAATGTTCCCTAGCTGTCAGTTAAATATACACTCCCAGGGATTTAGAATGTTGTACACATAATGAAATTACCTGAATTCACTCCTCAGTGTCACGTTTTTCTGCTAAATTGATTTGAAGGAGCATTCTAAAATTTACTTAATATTCGACCTATACAGTATACTGTGATAACTTTTATACAATATACAACAAACTTACTTGTGGAACTGAAGATAACATTTTAACTCCAAAATATACAAATCACAACACTAGTAGAAAATTCCACAAGAGTAACTTGGCTGCAGCACGAGTCACGAACACATCACACGTACACACTTCATTAGTCAGGCTCCTGAATAATGTGCCCATACCACATTTTCCTTGCTTTTTTGTAAGGAATATTGTATTAGGTCACAATACCAATAAACTGGCAACCTAAGACATTCTTCTAATTAATCTTCCTTTTCCTTCTCTTCTAAGGCCCTTATTCTCTCTAGTATTGGTGGATGTGAGTGATGCCAAGCAGAGTACAGTGGGTCATACACTGGAAATCCTAAATTGTCTTCATTAAGCTTTATCAAAGCAGATTTCAGATTCACTGAGTGGCCTAATTTCTTGGCAAAACTATCTGCTTGAAACTCATTGTAGCGGCTAAACATCGTCAAAAGGAACTGCAAAATCTGAAGGGAAAAAAAAACACATTGATAAATCTTAAATCTTCATTTAATTTAACCTTTTCAGGGTCGAGACCCCTGATCTCAAACTTGCTCTCAGAGTCAAAGAATTAAAAAAAAAAAATTATTTTATCTTATGAAATGATACAGATTTTTTTTTCTGAAGATAATGAAATCAAAAGTACGAAATTTGATGGAAAACTTACAGAATTATGCTCTCACAAAGTTAGCAGTCTCGGCAATACTTACACGCCGGCGACCTCACCCATTTTGCACCCTATTTTTGGCCAATTCCTTTGTTCCAGTCGACCAAACTCATAGCTATTTCATTAGTATTCCTTCTATTCTATTGACTGAGTACAAGAAACCACCCATTTACCTATTTCAACTATTCTAAAAAGTAATCAGAAATCAGTAATTTGGCCAATTTCACACAAAATTAAAAAATTGCCAATTTAAAAATAGGGTTCAGAATAAACAATACAGACATTCTTGGTACTAAAAAATCTTTTCCTCTGTTCCTCAGTCATGTCTCCATTTTGAATTTTTATTCACACAAAAAAATAGAAAAATTTACTGTTATGCAGACTACTACATTATTGTAATAATTGTATAAATAATGTCAGTGCATTCCTAAATGTGTATTAGACTGGTAAGCTGGACATGTATTGGACAAATGATGTCGTGTACTCTGGAATATTGGCAAAAATCGAACATTTCTGCTACTTTGAGCTCAATTTCGAGCTACTTTCAGTCCTGAAACTAATCAAAATCATATCTTTCTGTAAGATATCTTCAAGTCTATCAAATGAGACCAAGAATCCAAGAAAACAACCATAAAAACCATATGAAAATACACCACAAAGTCACTGTTTTAAATAAAAAACAATGTCACAGTTGTTTTCTTCATTATACACTGCATGCTGCAGGATTTTTGTTTATATGGTGCATACTTACCACACAGACCTATTCTCTCATATTTAGGCCCAAATTTACTGCTTACAGTTTATCTGAGGGAGCTGAGCTCATGGCATTGTACTACGAGACCAACACCGGCTTCAAAGCCATTATATAATGGGACTAACACCAAAAGGGTAAATGACTAAAAAATATTTTAACTTATCTCTTGTTTAACCAAAAATAGTCAACATGTCTTCCTGTATTTCCAAGAATTGAAAGAAATGCAGTATTAAGGAAATGGCATCAAACATCATTTAATACTTTTTTTTTTTTAACAAGTCGTCTCATACCTAGGCAGGGTGACCTAAAAAGAAGAAATGTAAAGTTTTTTTTTGGTAACAAATCGGCCATCTCCCACCAAAGTAAGGTGACCTAAATATAAGTACAAAAGTTTTTTTTTTTTTACATTTAGTAATCTATACAGAAGGGATCACTAGACTCTTGTTCCTGGCACTTTAGTCGCCTCTTACAGCACCCATGGCTTACGGAGCAAGGATTCTTTCCTACTTCCTCATGGAGAATACTCTAATTAACTTACATAAATTTATCCAAATACAGTGGTACCTTGTGTTATGAACTTAATTCGTTCCAGAAGGCTATTCGAGTGCCGATACCAAACGAATTTGTTCCCATAAGGAATAATGTAAATTAGATTAGTCCGTTTCAGACCCCCAAAAATACTTGCAAAAGCACTTGCATAAATACACTTACATAACTGTTCGAGTTGGGAGTTGTTCGAAACTCGAGGTACTGCTGTATTAATCTTTTCACGTTACCACTCACAGAAAAGGGTGTTAACACATTTTCCCTACTGAGAAAGCCGTTTATATCCATCTATGACTGACATGGACTGCAAACCATAACTAAGAAATTATGCTAAAAGTTTCAAGAAAAGTGTACTGTATTTATAATTAAAACCAAGCTTTCTTACGTTGTAGAGATATTTCAAGGAAGTTAATGCCCATGTATAAAAAAATTACAATATAAAAAGCATTGTTACCCCAAAACAGTTTTAATAAGGTAATGTATATCACTAAGCACCATACCAATTGTATAAATATTTTACTATACATGTATTATTGTTAGGTAGTAGGTTGGTAGACAGCAACCGCCCAGGGAGGTACTACCGTCCTGCCAAGTGAGTGTAAAACGGAAACCTGTAATTGTTTTACATGATGGTAGGATTGCTAGTGTCTTTTTTCTGTCTCAAACATACATGATTTCAGGTACATCTTGCTACTTCTACTTACACTTAGGTCACACTACACATGCATGTACAAGCATATACAGTGGTCCCTCAATAATCGTCCATAATCCGTTCCTGGAAGTGGGACTATTATCGAAATGGACGATTTTCGAATCAATTTTCCCCATAAGAAATAATGTAAATCCAATTAATTCGTTCCAGACACCCAGAAGTATCAACAACAATTTTTTTTTTACCTAAAAGATAGATTTACATGCACAAAAGAATGAACATTCAACATGACAGTTACCTTTATTGAAGGCTGTTGTTGTTGTTAGGTAAGACACATATGCAACAGTTAGGTATCTTTATTTTGATGAAACGTTTCGCCTACACAGTAGGCTTCTTCAGTCGAGTACAGAAAAGTTGATAGAAGCAGAAGATACTTGAAGACGATGTAATCAGTCCATCACCCTTAAAGTTTTGAGGTGGTCAGTCCCTCAGTCTGGAGAAGAGCATATGTGTCTTACCTAACAATCTGTCGGTATTTTATACCATTTTAATGTTCAAGGCTGTTGTTGATGAATGGAAGACAGGGAGGAGGAGAGAGGGAAGAGAGGTTATTTGGAAGGGAAATCCCCCTCCATAAGGACTCTAGGGCACTAATAAAATGTATAAATGAACATTGGTAATAGGAGTAGTTGATGAGTGGAACGGTCTGCCTAGTAGGGTGATCGAAGCTAATACATTGGGTAGTTTCAAATTTAGGTTGGATAAATACACAAGAGAGAGCGGTTGGATTTGAGTCGGACTTGCACCTGAGCTTATTGCTTGGGTAGCATTTGTTCTGTTAGTGGGTTGGATTTGTGAAGGACCGGCCTAGTATGGGCCAACAGGCTTATTGCAGTGTTCCTCCTTTCCAATGTTCTAAAAGCTATGGCTTGGGTAATTTCAAATTTAGGTTGGATAAATACATGAGTGAAAGGGGTTGGATTTGAGTCGGACTTGCACCTGAGTTTATTGCTTGGGTAGCATTTGTTCTATTAGTGGGTTGGATTTGTGAAGGACCAGCCTAGTATGGGCCAGCAGGCCTGTTCCAGTGTTCCTACTTTCTTAAGTTCTTATTTAACATCACACTTACCAGTAGGGTGATCGAGGCTAGGACCTTGGGTAGCTTTAAGAGGAGATTGGACAAATATACGAGTTGGAAGAGCTGAGTTTGATTTGTGTCATTGAGTACGGGAGTAAATTCTTGGGTAGCTTTGGGTGGAGGTCATTTTGATAAGGACCTGCCTTGTATGGGCCAGTAGACCTGCAGTGTTCTTCCATTATGTTCTCATTGGCTATTTGTTTGTGTGAAGGAGGGATGGCAAGTTTATTGTTGAATATGACACTAATATCAACTCTATGGCTTATTTATCTATCGTAATTCAACTAATATGACATAATAAACAATATTAATAACATAGAAACATGGAATATACTCTAGAATGAATAAAATAAGTCATTACGTATGTCACGAGAGGTGTTGTGTTGTGTTGTTGTTGGGTATATAAGGGCCACTGAGTGTAAGCTGTCCATAATGGTGGTAAAGCAGCAGCTGAGGCGGCGGTGGTTTTTGTAGCCCTATATAACTCCAACAACATTGGAGAAGTTGGTAGAATCGCTGAATCACTAAAGAAGGAACCCTCTACCACCATCACTACTACCTTCTACCACCAAAGAAAACTTGTAGTGCCAGCCCTTTGGTAAAGAATGTGAGAAACACATAATTTATGAAAAAGTTTGTAGAAAAATACAAAGATGGTGGTGGTAGAGTGGAAGCAGTTGTGATAGTGGTTGATGAACATAAGAAAGGAGGATCACTGCAGCAGGCCTGTTGGCCCATGCTCGGCAGGTCCTTTACAATTCATCCCACTAATGAAACATTTTCCCAACCCAGTCCTCAATGCTACCCAACTCTATCCACTCATTTTGGACTTGCAAATAAGTGGATAGAGTTATCAGAGCTTATTTCTTGGGCAGCATTGAGGACTGGGTTGGGAAAATGTTTCGTTTGTGGGATGAATTGTAAAGGACCTGCCGAGCATGGGTCAACAGGCCTGCTGCAGTGATCCTCCTTACTTATGTTCATCAACCACTATCACAACTGCTTCCACTCTACCACCACCATCTTTGTATTTTTCTACAAACTTTTTCATAAATTGTGTTTTTCTCACATTCTTTACCAAAGGGCTGGCACTAGAAGCTTTATTTGGAGCCATGGTAGCTTATTTAGCACTTGCAAGCACTAAAATCAATGGAATATTATGAAATATTTCATAGGAGCATGTGAGGGGACCGTCACTGGTAAACAATGGCACACTGGCTGGGAAGGAAAGGCCGAGGCGGCTCAGAGCATGAGTACGCGTCCGGAACGAAGGACTATTAGGACTATTAGCGAGTTACCAGACCATTTGCGAGCCAATATTTTGACGAAAAAACAGGACTATTTCCGAAATGGACGACTTTCAGGCCGGACAATTATTTAGGGACCACTGTATATACACACCCCTCTGGATTTTCTGCTGTTTTCTTTCTAGTTCTTGTTCTTGTTTATTTCCTCTTATTTCCATGGGGAAGTGGAACAGAATTCTTCCTCCGTAAGCCATGCGTGTTGTAAGAGGCAACTAAAATGCTGGAGGCAAGGGGCTAGTAACCCCTTCTCTTGTATAAATTGCTAAATTTAAAAAGAGAAATTTTCGTTTTTCTTTTTGGGCCACCCTGCCTTGGTGGGATATGGCCAGTTTGTTGAAGAAAAAAAAATGTATTATTGTATTTAATAACCACTGTTTGCCTGTACAATATATCAACACATATG